GAAGAATCCTGTGTCGTGTTTTCCCTTGCCGGCGAGGGGTCGCGACAGAAGGGAGGGAGGGAAAGCAAGCCAGGAACCCACCTGTAATTCCAGCAGCTCAGGAGGCTGATGCAGGGGATCACGAGTTCAAACCCAGCCTTAGCAAAAGTGAGGAGCTAAGCAACTCAGTGAGACCCTGCCTCTAAATAAAAAATTACAATATAGGGCTGGGGATGTTGCTCAGTGGTCGAGTGCTCCTTTGGTTCAATTCCCAGTACCACACCCCCTCCTCTACCAAAAAAAAAAGAAGAAAAGAAAACCAAAACTGGGACCAGTTAAACTTTAAAAAGTTTTCTTGGGCAAGAAAAAAGTTCTGGAATGGAGCAGAATTCTATGCTCCCCCCCACCCACCTGTACAGATTACCTGTATAGCCAGAGAAGAGGAAGGGCCAGACAAGAACAACCTGATTGGCTGCAGTCACATTGCCTTATATGGGCATGTTCTGGCAGCTTTCAGCCTCTGATTGGTTGGAGATTCAGCTGCTATGATTGGCTAAGACTCGGTGCTTGGTTACAGGGACATCCTCTTAGGTTAAGTTACGACAAGCCGGCACCAGAAGTGAGGTGTTAGGCACCAAAAGTGAGGTGGTACTTCAGGACGTATGGAGACCACTTTGGGCCAAACTTTGTCATACAAGTGTGGAGACAGGTGTTGGCCAAACTTAAAAATTTCATAGTCCTAAGAATTTACCCATCATAAGTTGAAAAATTTTAAAATCCAAAGTGCTTTCAACACACTTAACCTACCTAGCATCCCAGCTTAGCAAGGGGTATCCTGCAGCCTGTCAGTTGTTTACCCTGATAATCGTGGGCTGCAGCTCACCGTTGGTGCCCATCATGGTTGACAGAATATGGACCACATATCACTAGCTGGACGTTATACAGCTTGAATGGTCACTGAACCAGGTGATCCAGGAAAGTCCAATGTAAAAGAACTGAGGCATGGTGCCATGAGATGGGAGAAAGGCAGGCAGATCCAGCACAGAGCCACATATTGGGGAATTACTGAGAGAAGTATGGTCAAGTGCAGCGGCAAGACCAGTAGATCCCCAAGACTTGGGACAGAGGGAGGGGGCTTATATAGTGGTCAAGACATAAGCGACTCATCAAGCCAGAATGGAGCTGGTTTATTCCAAGCTAATGTGAAGGATGTCAAGTAAATTCCTGGTGCTGACCTATGATTCCATTTATATGAAATCTCCAGAGACAAATCCATAGACAGAAAATAAGATTAATGGCCGCCTGGAGCTGAGTCATGGCTGAAGGCCTTGGGTTTCTTTTTGGGGTGATGACACATTCTAAAATTGATTATGGTGATGGATGAGCAACCCTGAGTATACCCAGAGCAACGGAGTGTACACTTTCAGTGGCTGAATTGTCTACTATGTGATTTAAGTCCCAGAAAAGCTGCTGAGTAAAGATTCACCCACCCCAGTGGCCACTGTGATTTTTGGTAGTTGTGTAACCAGCACCTCAATCAAGATATAGAAACGTTCCATCACCCTGAAGAGTATCAGTGCTCCTAGGCAGTCTCCCAACTCCCAGCCGGAGGCAACCACGGATCTGCTTCTGCTGATGTTTTCGATTCAGGGCTATCGTCAATAATATTATCAACATTTGCATACATTATGTAGACATGTTTTCATTTCTCTTGGGGAAATACCTAGAAGCGGTACCATGAGGTCACAGAGAAGAAGTGATTTGTCTAAGGTCCCCAACTAAGAGCCCAAGATTGGATGGTAACTCTTCTGACCCAGGGAGGAGAGGGGCTGACCCTCTAGGGCATGCAGGGGCATGGCTCCCATTCAGTTCTCCTCCCAGGGGTTCAGCCACTTGTCCCCTCCCTGCCCTGGCTCCCAGGCTCTTATCCCCAGGCTCCTGGTGGAGTGGGAAGCTGTGGAGGGGTTCCCACTAGGGGAGTGGAGAGAAGAAATAAGGTGGACATAAACACTGAACAGGAGTCTGTGGACAGAAGAAATGGAGAGGCATGTGTTTAGCAAAACAGAGAGGAGAGGGGGAAAAGGAGAGAGAAAGGAAGAGGAAAGGAGAAGGTATTTTTCTCCAGTCTTACAGTCCATGTGGACACGTCCTCTTGGGAAGTTAAGTTGGTAATTCTGGTAATTTGGCAAACACACTCTTGTTCCTTTACAAGCTCCAGATAGAAACACCCACCTTCTGTTGAGATCAGCGGGTGGCAGGAGTGTGGCAGAAGATGTTGCTTGGTGTTTGTGAGGACGGCCTGAGGTCTGAGCCTAAGCATCTCCATTTTAAAACTCCAGCTTGAAACCTGCAGTCTCACCAGGCACACCTAAGGGAGCCCTCCAGTAGGGCCCTGAGGCACAAACAAGTCACCTCTCCCCACCCTGACAAACTCGAGTGAAGCCTCTGGCAGGGAAAGGTGAAAAAATCGGGGTGGGGACCACCAGGCCAGATGTTTTAACCCCTGGGTAAATGATGTCACTGAGAAATCCGGTGCTAGCTGATGAGGATTGAAAGGGGGGGGGTGTCAAAAGCCCCCAAATTTAGTATAAATAATAGAGCATATGAACAGACATTCAGCCAGCCAACACTGATGCACACAGCTGGATGCACATCACTCCTGAGGAGGACCTGGACTGACATCCCATCACTTGTCATTGCTTCCCTGATCCTCTGCATGGTCCTCACCACTTTCAAACTCTACAGCCACATCTTGACCCTGGTGAGAGCCACAACTTCTCTCTAGGACCACCTCCCCAGCTGGCCATCAGCTCCACCCAGGAGAAGCCGGCCTTGGTTCCCAACCTGATCACCGCGGTCTGAGTGGTGGGCATCTGCTGGACTTAAAGCCTAAGGCCTGGGACTTCTGATCTGATGACACCTGAACTTAGCATGCAGAGGGAATGTCTGTCCTGAGCCTTGTAGGTAGCTGAGGTGCTGTTTGCAGTGCTTAGAACTAATCTAGAACTGATTGCTGTGAATTGACTATGTCTATTGCAGTGCCCAGCATTAAGGATGATCATTTTCTTGTTTAAGAACCTACAGAGTGAAATTGTATTGAGTGATTTGAGTGAGTAAAGCACTGAAAAGGGCAGAGCACGTGGACTTTCTTTATTTCTCCCCCTTGACTGCATAAGTCGCACCTTTTGCCCATTGCAACAGGACTCCCCATGGACATCCCACAGGCCCAGCCCTGGCTCTCCTCAGGGCCAGAGGAAGGGACTGAAACGTGGGGTCACAGGTGGTGGCAGGGAGTGCTGGACTCAAGCCCACACTCCCACCCAAGCCCAGTCCGCCTTCTGGAGAATCCCTCGGTCATCCTGGCCCTGAGTCTTTGGGGCTGTGGAGGGCCCCCAGTGTACTCTCAGCGCGAGCCTGCCCTCCTCCAGATGCAGGCGAGATGGGGGCTGTGGGTAGGAAGTGAGAGCTGGCCGAGCTGGGTGCCCTCCACTGTAAGAAGGCAGAGACAGAAGGAGGCCACGGATGGGGCAGGATAAAAGGGCAGGAGGGAGCAAAGACAGAGACCACAGCAGGGAACAGGCAGAGGACAGACCAGAGACACAAGAGCTATGGAGAGAATAAGTGTAGGACAGAATGGGACAGTGAGGGACCTCAGCAGTCAGACACAGATGGGGACAGATTGATATGAAAAGGGATACAGTCCGAAGACTCCAGAGAAAGACAGACAGGAAGCCCTGTCATGCCCCTTCCTGGTCTTCCTAGGGCTGCCTGCACCGCTGCCCCTCCCTCCCCGCCCACATCACCAGCTGAGCCAGCCACCCTGATTTCTCCACCTGCCCCCAGTGGCCAGAGGCCAGAGGCCCACGCACCTGCAGGACTTGACCCGCTCTCTTCCTTCAGCAAAGATGAAGGAAGAGAGCAAAGACCCAGGTGGTTCCTCCGCCCAACTCCCCATCCTTCAAGGCTCAATAAAAAGGCCTCATCTCTCCAGGCTGTCTTTTCTGGGGGCCACAGCCCCACGGTCCCCTCCACCACGACCACCCGGACAGCACCCTGCGCGTGAGACCGCAGAAGGCTCTCTGCAGGTCCATGAGCTTCGCCATAGGGGAGGCTGACGTGCTCCGTTTCCCACTCTAAAAGCACAGGCTGTGGGCTCTTCAGTCAAATCCCTGGGCAGTTCCTCCCATCTGTGGGCCCAGGGCCCATCTCGCCTCTCCTCTATCTTCAGCAGTCTCTGCAAAGGGAAGATGACGAATGCTATCTGGCTTGGAGACATGGAAAAGTGCCTCTGCCCAGGCCAAGTCCACATGTCTATTCCCTTCCCTTCATCGCGGATCCCTGATGCCCCCAGAGCTGTTGTACATGGAGGGTCTGGAACAGATCAGCAGCTACTAAAGCTGTTTGCTATGGGTTGGCACGTCCCACACATCAGGTCCCATTTGTGGTAGTCTCAATGAACACTTGTCCACCCTGGGCTGTAGGTACAGACATTAGGAAAGTCAGTGGCTCCAAGCCACATCACATGTCCCTGATCTGCTGTTCTTTCCCCCTGCAGTGGAAAGAACTATTGGTGGCTCGCCCAGGTCCTCTCAGACTCTTACCATCTCTGGACGCCCAACCCCCAGCCCTTAATTGTGCCTTTTTTATTTTCAGCTGCTGTGACTCTGGGGCCTTGGTGACCCTGGAGCAACCATCCCTCCTAGGGCCACCAATTGCTAGATAGTAAAAGACACCCCTGTCAGCACCTTCCTTAAGCAACCAGCCAACCCAGAACCCATGTCCCCCCACCTCCTTTAAGGGACTCTTACACCCACCTGCCCACCACCCCAGGGCTAGGTCCCTGGCAACTCAGGACAGCCTCTGAAGGATATGGAGAATAGGCCCGGGGGCAAGTCCCCTATCTGCAGCTGTCTCCTCACCCGCCTTCCTCACCCATCACAGAGAGATGGCTGTGGTAAATTGGAGCTTTTGACATTTAGAAGCCTGAGCCTCAACTGGAGAGAAGGCAGGAAGGGAAAATACAAAAGGACCCCAGGACAATAGGCCCCAGGAACTGCCCTACCTGCCCTCCTGTCCTACTCTAAATGAGCCTGCCAAACCAACTCACCGATGACCTGTCTGCTGAACCCTATAAAACTCAGAACCCTGTTGTAGCATGCTGCCATTTTTCTCCCCCAAAATGCATTCCTCTGTGGCTTAATAAAAGCATCATTAATCCATCGAGGTCTGTCCCCAGTTGGTTATTTTTGCTTACAGCCTTTATGCCCCAAAGTCCACTGAAATGATTCAAACTGGCCAATCCTAAGCCTGAGTACCTTGCCCTTCCTTTGCTCCCAGGGACTCCACAGTGAAGGCTCTTGTCTGTTGTCCCCTCCTCTCCTGCTCTCTAGACCAGCTCTAGGCATCCCCTGGGGTCCTGCATGGTGTCCAGTGTCCCTTTCTTTTGGGACATGGGACTATAACAAACTGTCTTTTGAATGAATGGTGATGCAGTTTTCGCCTGTTGCCTCACCACCTCTGAAATAATAAACTCTGTATTTTAACACACTCCTGCTGGAGGCATACCCCATGGCTCTCTTCCCAGGACTGCCTTTGGGCTGAAATTACCTGGAAGTTTATGTCTTCCCTTCCTTACTCCCTCCTGTGACCCCTGACCCATGACTACTGGAGATGGTGCAGTGGCAGGTCTCCAAATATGGCTCCCTATGGCCATACCCCTGATATCCCTGTCTAGCCCCCCACCATATTCAGCCTGAACTGACCTGACTTCCTTTAAGTAGCAGATGTGAGATTGTACCTGTCATTAATGTAGTAGAGTGAAATTGTACCTGTTTCAAGAGACTGGAATATTCTGCAATCTCCCCTTGGAATGCTTGCTCTTCCAGAGTCCCAAGCTACCCCACAGAAAGGGAGAACGCTGATGCTCCATGATGAATGAGAGTCCCGAAGTCCCCATGGCCCTTCTGGCTATCTCTGCCAAGGCACCAGAGTGCCATCTTAGGTGCCCCTGCCCAGCTGGGCCCCAAGACGACTGTAGCCCCGGCTATAATCATGCAGAGCTGAAGGAATATCCCATGGAGTCCAGTGAATCCATGAAATCGTGAGTGATTTCAGATGGTTACTGCTTTGTGGCTTTAGCAATAGAAAGCACAGACAGGGAGATTCAAAGGCCTAGTTCCATGCACCCCAAGGTGGAAAAGTCTGTAGCTCAATTTATGCTCCAGAACTCCCCAGGGGAAGAGGCTGAAGCTGAGACTTCACCTGAGGGCACACTCTGGCTCCTTTTCTTCCTCTAGTCTGTCTTTCTCCAGTCCCTCAGTATCTCTCCTGGAAAGCATTTCTTAAACAAATCACTGGTGTGGACATCTTGTCTCTGTGCCTCCAACAGAAGCTGACTTCAGACACAACACTTCTGATCCAACTGGAACCCAGGGGTCTGGCTACCCTCTTGTCCCTCCCTACTCTTCCCTGCCCCTTTCCTGCATCCAACAGCATATCCCCCTTCAGCTTTGCCACACAACAGGCATCCATCTGTATGTATCTGTGAGGAAACGGGCATTAAGAACATCCATGAGGTCTCAAAAGGAAGCAGAAAGCAGCTTGTTTGCCTTGGGCAGCAGCAAATGAACCTCCATCCCCAACCACACAACCATAGAGGGGGTAAGGCCCATAGGAAGGCAAAGTCCAGGCATTCGGCATGTCAGCAGCAGTTAGGGGCCAGATTGGGATTGGGTGTCTGTGGTGGGAGGGGCTCTACTATTTGTTCCATTTCCCTTCCCGGAGTCTCTTTGCCATCTTCACCCCCACCAGTTCTGGGTCCCTGTAAAACTCCAGAACCCATCACCACGGATCCTCCAGCAGGTCCCAGAGCCGGGTGCCACTGGAGTCAGATAAGTCAGCAGAGAAGATGCTGGGGGCTGGAGGGCCAGAGCCCAGTGGAGGACCCCCACTCAGGGCCTCTAACCAGTCCAAGGAATCCGTGGGGCCTCTGGGAGAGGTGGATGGGGAGTTCGTGGGGGTTGGGAGTGACGAGGAGAAGACAGATGAGAGGCCTTCAGAGTCCGGGGAGGGGGACAGCACGTCGAAGGAGCCAGGAAAATCCAGAGGAATGGGGGGCAGCGGGTCTGCGGGGGAAGGAATGGAGTGTGAGCTTAGGAAGTCATGGATCTGGTTCTGTTCCTCAGCCCATTCTTTCCTCGGACCCAGGAGTGCAGAACCTCAGGCCCCTTCTCCCCCAAACTCAGGAGTTAGGCTCTTACCATCAGGCTCCATCTGGTCCTCCAGGATGTCATCAATGCCCCGATTCGGAAGCAGCTGTGGACGAACAGACGCGGCGTGAATCTGGCATCCCACCCAGAACCTGAGCGGAGACCCACCATCCCAGACCCACTTGATCCGGCACCCTCTCACCTGCGCCCTCCGGATGGCTTCCTGCAGCTCCTCCTCCAGCGTCAGGGGCGCTGAGGAAGCTGTTAGGGCTGTGGCCGGAGGCGGCGGAGGAGGAGGAGGAGGAGGAGGAGGCGGCGGCGGCGGAGGCGGAGCCGGAGCGGTCACTAGGCTCTCGGCCGCTCGTGGAGGAGGTGGCTTGTGAGACGCCGGATTCGACTTGGTCTACAACCACGAAGAGGTAGTTCCCTAAGCCACGCCCACCACGCGTAGCCCCCCGCAATCCGTGGCTCCACCCCCAGGTCCGGCCCTTCACTCCTGGACCACGCCTTTGGCCTCGCCCCCTGCCCTTTCATTGGCTCCTCCTCACTGAAGATTCTTCCCCCAGTTGCTCTTAGCCACGCCCCCTTGCGCCGGGCTTTCTCTGCTGGGCCAAGTCCCTCCCCACAACTTCATTGGTTCCTGAGTTTTCGACCCTCCGCCCCATCTGTTTTGTCTTCTCGTCATTGGCCCACACTCTCATAGTGCCGCCCTCACCGTGCCCTGCCGCCGGGAGGTTCCCAGGGCCTTGGGCCTGAGGCGTGGCCAGGGAGCACCCGCCGCGCCGTCCTCCCGCCGCGGCTTTTGCCGCTCGCGGGGCGGGGCACCGCCGCGCATGCGCTCCAGGAGCATCGACTTGGTCCCGGACACCGGGAGGCCCCGCAGGCGCAGCTGCTGCCGGAGCTCTGAGACCTGGGGAGGGGGCGGGTAGAGTCGGTGCTGGGCGTGCTTGGGCAGCAGGCCGGGAATGGGGAGGACATTTGGGAAACGAGATAGGAAAGATCTGGAACCCTCCAAAAGATGAAACTGGGGACCCAGACTCCTGGATTTCCTTGGGGCAGAGGCTGCGGTTAATCCCACCAAAAGAAAGGACACACCTGGAAAGTTGTCCCCCAAACTCACCGTCAGCTCCTCCAGTTTAAGGGTCTGAAGTTCCAACTTGTGTGGAGGGGGAGAAGGGCTGGGGACTCCTGGTTGGAAGGGAGTGAGGGGAGTGGGCTTCATTCTGGCGATGGTCGTGAGGGAGGAACAGTTTAGAAGGGACAGAGAGAGAAAAGGCATATTAAGGTCCTCATAAACAGGGGCTCTAGAAAATGTAGGAAAGTGACAGCCCAGAATTCTGGGTCTCTGAGGAAGCAAGACCATGGGGCTAGATTTCTGTTCGTGGGAGAGGAGGAACTGGGGGTGTGAGTCTGAAAGGAGAAGGACTGGGAGCTGGAGAGTTGGGTCCTGGGGAAGGAGGGGCTCCGGACTGGACCCTGTCATGAGCAGTGGATTTGAGGCAGGATGATGGGATGTGAATTTCTGGGTCCCCAGAGAAGAGAAATGAGGGTCATACCTAGGATGTAGCTGCTGTGAGTTTGTCCCTTCCCACAGAGGTGGCCCCTGGGGACCCAGGGCTGACCTCTCAACTTGGGGGTCTGCCCTGGACCCTTGTCTCGGCTCCGGGGGCATGTACTGGTGGTATGTTAAGTTTCCCCTGGGCTTGGATTCGCTCCAGCGTTGGGAGGTCTTGGAAGACTCCTAAAACAGCAAGTGTGATGTCCCATGCTTCAGCTCAGTTCCTGCCTTCCTGCCCCAGAGCCCACTGCACAGTGGGGTTGGCAGTCACCAAAGAGGAGCAGATGGGGCAGTGGCAAGGAGGACCAAGGCTAGACTCAGAGGGACTTCCTCTCACTCTAGTCAAGACTCACCTTCTTTGGGGACCTCCAAGGACAATATTCCGTCTCAGGGAGCAAGACGCCAGGGCTGAAGAGGAAAGAGGCAGGGACCAAGGGCAAAGCTGGGGCCAGAGCTGGGCCGGAGGCTGAGATCCACGGATCTGAATCTGAGGCTGGAGAGACAGTGAAAGACCTGAGTGGCCTGGAGGCATTTAGCCAGCAAGGAGGAGCAAAGCTGTGGGAAAGGAGGACCCAGCCTCCCTGGGGTGTGGGAGGACAAGCCCTGGCAGCTGGATGCCTGGACTCCTGGATCTAGGGGCCCAGATTTTCACATTCTCAAGAAGGCAGCAAGCTCTGTCACCAAGGGGTGTGTTAGTTGAGGATCACAGATGTCTGGGGTTTTGCTGGGACAGGGGTGGGGGCCTGCACTCCTGGTTCTTGGGGAGACGGAGAAGCTGAGAGCCACAGTCTGACATTCTTATGTGAACGGAATGTGGAGTGGAGTCTGGGAAGCCTGTCTCCTCCAAAGAGCATCTGGAATCATGCATCTGTTGGGGTGGGAAAACTGGAGAGCAGGAAGCAGAGCTCCCAGGGGTGGGATGACCAAGGACCTGGATTCCTGGATCCTTGGGAAAGGACAGGATGGAATTTCAGTGTATCCTGGGTGGGGTATAGGAACCAAGCTACAGGAACCAGTGAGGGACCTTGCATAGCTGTACTCCAGGATGTCCCAGGGAAATGGGGCCACCATCCCCTCCCACTCAGGGCCCACACTTACTGGGGTCCTGATTCCGTCTGTGGATCCGAAGCTGGAGGACTGTGGAAGGAGGAGGGAGGTGGGAGGAGGAAGGCGGGAAGGGAGTGTCCGGGAGCCTGGCTTGGCAGGCGGGTGGGAGTTGCAGTTGTTGGCAGGACACAAGTGCCCAGCCCCCTTACACACCCCTGCAGGCGGGTGGGCAGGCAGCCCGCTCCCTTTCCCGGGCCTCCCGCCTGCTCCCTGCCAGCGCAGTGCCTCGGGCCAGAGCTGCTCTAGGGCTAGGAGCCAGCCAGCCTGCAGGCAGTAGGCAGCCCCACCCCAGCTCCACCTGCCCCTCACGAGTCAGTGCCCACGCCACCCCCAGGAAAATCGCCATCTTGGCAGCCCGGCCCGTTTGCACCTCACCTCCTTTTATCCATGAACCCCACTCTGCAGCGCCAACTTCTTTCTGTGCTCCCCTTTTGCCCTTCCCACAGTCATCCCGTAGTCTGCACACCAACCCTTGAAACGCATCTCTGGGCTCTAGATCTACATATGCCACTTCCGTGTATTTGTAACCTACACACTTCATCCTTGGCTCACTCTGCCTTGGCACCCACCCAGCCACATTGACATTCTTATTTGCACCCTAGGGACATGGCCACTAATTTTGGAGCAAGGCTGTCCCATTGCACAATTCTGCTCTTTGCACATGTGTGTCTTTTTGCACATTTTTGCTCTTCCGTTATTAGTGTCTTTGTACACCCAACCATGTAACCACACTCCCTTGCACTTGGGTGCCCTTTGCCTACTCAGGAATTGACCCCCAGTTCTGCGCATTGCATATCTTGCACTTACCCTGGAATCTAAAACACAACTTTTGACACTTTCAAGGCTCGATAGCTCATTGTCCCCTCACCAAACTCCCACCCTGTCCTCCAAAGTCCCCATTGTGTGCGCATGTCTGCTGAACATACATTTCAGTTGAAGCCTTGTTCTTTGCAGTGCCTGATCTGCACACCCACCCCTAGCTGCCCACTCCTCTTTGCTGACCTAGCCATTTGCACACTTAGTGGCCTACCTCAATTCGACCCCATTTGCTGGACACCTTTATGCTGAGTGACCTTTTGCACAGAAAATACATGCCTCACGGGTCCTCCTACCTTCTCCCACCCCAGAGTAGACCCGTTTCCAGAAGCCCAGGACCCCTTCCCAAACCCATAGGGAAAAGCCTCTCACCAGATCGGAACTTGGAGCGGATGATTTGGGAGCGCTGGGAGGAAGCTGCCAGGGTCATTTCCAAGGCTGGGATGGGGACCTGGACTGGAGAGAGAGCAGGGTCAAAGTGGAGGTCAGGAAGCTGACCCTGTGGGTAGACTTATGAAAAGCTCTGAGGGAGTTAGGGATAGAAGCAGCCTGTAACCCTAACTTCTGGATGTGGAAAGGGCTGGGGCCCCAGACACATAGGTCAGAGGGAGGAGGGCTGGGGCCTGGACTCCTGAGTCTGAGGGAGGAGGGGCTGGGGCCCTAACTCCTAGGTCTGAGGGAGGAGGGGCTGGGAGCCCTGACTCCTAGATCTTGGTAGAGGGAGGACCTGGGTCCTAGGGAGGAGGGCACTGGGAACCACGACCCCTGGGTCTTTGAAGGAGAAGAAGGGATAGTGGCCTGGACCCCTGAATCTTGAAGGGGAAGGAGGTTAAGGGCTGGCACACAATACTCTTGAGGGGACTAGAATTCAATATCCAGGGGAAAGGGGTCTGGGAAATTGAAGAGTGCCTGCAACTTGCACCTGAGAAGGGAATGGGTCGGGATGTCAGCCACCAGGGTCTGTAAGGAAGGGATGGGGACCAGAAAAGTGACAGAAGAGTTAAGGAGAGTCCTTCCCTCCACCCCAGGGGCTTCTCACCAGGTGGGCTCGGAGCAGCTGTGCCCTAAGGCGGGTGGAGTCTGGCGGTCTGGGTTGGAGACTGCAGGCTCCACCCCACCAGCCTGGGAACGCCTTCGAACCCCCTTTCTGGTGCGTGCTGGAAGCCCAAGGAGTGGGCGGAGGAGACGCGAGCTACGCCTGGGACTCTGAGAAAGGGCGGGGACAGGCGCTGACAGAGTCTGGGGCGGGGTTCCTGGGCTCGCTCCTCCTCGTCGTCCTGAGGCTGTGAGGTCGGGCGGGACAGCCGCAGGCAGACAGACGGGAGCAGGTGCCGGGAGAGGGGCGCCGAATGAGCAGCAGTGGCAGGTGGTCGTGTCCCGTCTCTGCCGGCAGGTGCCACCTGTCGCTTTTTTTTCCCCTGACACAGCAGCGGGAGTCAGGTTTAGGGAAGGGGAAAGTTCAAGCCAGAGGGCCGGACCCCTGGTCTAAGGAGTGGGTTGGGGGTCTGCGGGAGGAAGTGCTAGGAACCGAGATAGAGGTGTGGTTCGGTGGTGTGCTTAAAAGTCAGACGGGTTCAGAGCCGGTAAGGGGACCCGGATTCCTAGGTAAGAACGAGAAGGCAACTTTGGACTTTGGGGGTGGGAGGGAGAGACGGCTGGTTCCCAGTGGCAGGATCAAGGGCCTGATATCCCGCAGAGCACACTTCGGACCATGTTCTGAGGTGTGTGGGAGGCCCCAGTGCTCCTGGGTTGGATTACATGAAAGAGGGCACGCTGAGGCCGCGGCTATAAATACCTCCTCCGACTAGGCAGGAGCCCAACGCTCCAGGCGAGGGCCCTGAGGCCTTAAAAATCACCATCTCTAAGGCCCCGAATCTTAATAAAAGAGGCACTGCCAAAGTCACAGATACATTTATTGCTCCTTGGCACTAACATCCCAAACCCATCTCTCCCCCCCTCCCCCGTCTCATCCTGTTACTACCCCAAAATTCAAACTCCCAGCTTTCCGCGCGGGGACGGGAACTACAACTCCCAGAAAGCTCTTCGTTCAGGCGGTCTCCAGTGAGTAGAAGCCCAAGAATTTTCAAGGTTCGCGCGCTCCTTTGCTATTGGTCTTCAGGGAGGCGAGGCTACGGGAGGTCCGTGGCGGTGATTGGCTGGCAACTCCTGCTGCTCAAGATCCCACAGGAGGCGACGGAGCCTGCGCAGTTCACGGTGCAGGGCGTCGTCTGTCACTGGGCCCGTGAGGCGCAGGCGTGAGCTCCCCAGGGGCAGGATGAGGGGCGGGTGAGAGGAGAAGCTTTCGAAGATGTCGCCTTTGAGGCCAAAGAAGATAGGTTAGAGTCTGAAAATGGGCGTGAGGCGACTGTGCCAGGAAGAGCCGAGACTGAACTACGCCCGAAGAAAAACTCCCAGCAACTGCAGGAGCAGGGTCCGCTTAAAGGCGACTCTGGGATCCAGAGCACAATGGGAGTTGTCGTTGAGACTACAAAGGCCATGGTTGCGTGGGCAACCAGCAGGGGGGTGGCCAGGTTCCTACATCCCCGAGGAAGGCTGGGAATTTAGTCCTAGGGACTCCTGAAGGTTAAGGGGCACAGACTCCGAGGAGAGGTGGGTGAGGGGTTGCAGAGGGAGAAAAGAGGGGCTGGGACCTTGAACTCCCGTGCTGGTGAGAAGGGGACTGGGACCAGCCTCCTGGGTCAGAAGAGCGCTGAGACTAGGGACCCCCACGCCCCAAAGCTGAAAGCCCCAGTGTTTGTATCCCCGTTTTCCTCACCTGTGTCCACAGCATCCTGCTCTGCTGGGGGAGGGTCCCAGGCCGGTGGTGGCCCGCGGCCAGGACCCAGCTGGTAGTGGCTAAGCAGATGGTGGAGCTGAGCAGGTGTCAGGGTGGAGTGGTCAGTTCGTAGGCTGCTCCATGAAGCCTGGTGGGAGGACCAGGTGAGAAGTCTATGGTCATTATGGGGCAGCTGAGAAATGGCACATGGAAGGGCCTCCATAAGTGGAGTGGATGTGCATAGTGGAGTCTATGCCATGTGTCCTGGGCACTGTGAAGACCACTTGTCACTGAAGTGATGGTAGGGAAGGGTATTGCTCTCAGAAACTTTAAAAAATATGATTTGTTTCAGAATAAATAAAGATACAGGAAGAAGGTGGGGAACAAGACTGCTCTTCACTTGTATCATTAAAGCTGGCAATGTGTACAGAGGGGTTAATTTTTCCATTGTGGCTATTTTTGTATCTGTTTGGCAAATTTTGCACTTGACCTAGCTGGCATTAGAATCATCAGTGTGATTAAAATCAGAGACTCTATCCAGATTGCCTGGGTTCAAAGATCTCAGCTTGATTACTTACTGATCTTCTGACAAATCACTATGCCTCAGTTTCCTTATCTGTCAAACAACCGTGTAGGGTTGTTATGAAGATGCAATGTGACAAACTGGAAAGTGACTTGGAACACTGCCTGGGGCTTATCAAATGCACTGTCAGTGTTTGATAAAAAATAAATACATGAAATCAAGTGACCTGTTCTACATGATTCTCAGTTTCCTCATCTGAAGAATTGTCTAATAATAACCCATTTTCATGCAGATCTATCAGTATTAAACTAGAATTGTAAAACACAGTGACTGGAATTAAGGTTTTGTTCAGTGGATATTTTAACCAGCACATTCCCTGGTCTCATACCAAACTTCCTGACTCAGCATGGCTGAGGAGGGACCCTGCAAACTATTTTTAAAAAGTTCCACTGGGATTCAGACACAGTCAAATGTGGTTATTGTTGGTGCTGGCTGCCAGCTATCTAAGCAGAGTCTTGGAATGAAAAGGGGTCTCCAGGAGCTCTGAGGGTGAGCTGAATATACAGGGTGGCTGAGAGGGGTTGAAGAGTTAGAGGTTAGGGGTCAGGGATTACCTTAAGCAGGGAGGTGCGGGGCACACAGAGCAGGTTCACAGCAATGGAGAGTTTCCGGAAGAACTCAGTGGCAATGTCACCTAGCCCAGCCCCCTGAAGCCAGTCCAAGACAAGATCTAGGTTGGTTCGGATTTGGACAGCTCGGGACCACTGATAGAAAGGTCGGCCTTGACCTAGGAGGGAAGGTTATGGGAGTAAATGTGGGTGGACTGTGGCCTGCTTCCCAGACCATTCCTGTCCTTGAGCTTGGTCTGTGGCTCTGGGATAGGAGCCTCCCCATTCCTGGCTCCCAGCCCAACTCTCACCTCGTTCCATCAGTGAGTTGAGAAGGGATGCATTGGAGAAGAAAAACAAGTAGCCGAAAGTCTGAGACACAAGATCTGGATGCAGCTCACACTGGCTGGTCAATTCCAAGGCTGCCTGGAACACGCCCAGTGTAGGTCTCAACCCTGGAGGCATGGCCCCCAGCTCTGCACCAGGCCCAGGCAGATCGGCACCAGCTGTGAAGGGGTTGCTATCCAGGAGAGCAGGCAGTGTTGAATAAAGAGTCTGAGGAAACAGGCAAAAAGAAGTGATTGGATCACATTCCCTGGAAGCTTCAGGTTGGTAGAGCATGGAGATAATGGGCAGCTCTAAAGGCTTCTAGGAGTTGTAGCCCATTCTGCATTCAACACCTGAAGGGACTCTATGAACAAATCCCTACTTCACAGATGGGCTTCTAACATTTATTAAACCTGGAACAAGTCAAGTCTTAAGAAAGACTTTCTAGAAGTTTCTTGGTTATTATAACACCACTTCTCATGCATTTTGGGACTTGTAGTTCTCAGTAGATAGCTCAAGAAGGACAAAGAATAGTAGACAAAGAAGCCCCCTTCTTTTATCCAGAATTCCTGAAGGAAAGAAAAAGAATGGAGAGTTAGGAAGTAGCAGTCAGGTGGCAATTAACTGGTAGAAAGTGAGACCAGGCCAAGGACCGGAAATGAGGTCAGATACAGAAATAAAACACCCTCTGCAAGAATGTGCAGGAAGTGAAGCCTCAGAGGAAAGGGCTTCATAGTTACGGCTGTTCAAGGAACTGCTACCTATCCCAAAAGACTCCCTTCTCCTTTTACAGACAGGGAATCAGACCCAGCATAAACCAAAATCCCTGAGAAGTCCAAGAAGCAATATTAAGGTCAAAGATATGGCAGGAGGTGGGGGAGGCAGACCCTGCAGGAAGAGCACTCAGAGAGAAAAAGGTCTCCAGATTAGAAATGGAAGTGAGTTCAGAGCTACAGCAAGTGAAATCAACAAACACAGGAAATAAGATCCCGATTAAAGATCTTTGGTTTAAATGACAGGACCTAACACTACTTGAACTATCTTTCTCTCTCCCTGCCAATCTATCTATCTATCTGTCTATAATTTATCAGTAGACCAAAAAAAAAAGGGAGCTTGAGAAGATGTAATAGTTATATAACCAGGTAATGAAGCCAGACTGTCAAGAGGCAATAATTGCAGACAGGAAGAGAAGCCAGAAAGGCAGGAAGTGATGTCACAGCAACAAAGAACTGGAATGAGATGGGAAGTGATGTCATAGGAGAAGGAAATTTTAAGCCAACCAGGAAATGACATCAGAGCAACACAATGAAGTTTTATCAGAAAATGATGCTGTCAAATTGGAAGTAGGGGCAAAGCCAACCTTGGTGAGGTAGTAGACAGACTGCTGGAAGGTACACATGATGACCTCATCCAGGAGGGCCATGGCCTCATCACATAATTCCAAGTCATTGCAGAGCTGTGGGTCTGAGGATAGACCTAAGGGTGAGAGGGAGAACCACAGGCTGGCAGCCAGGAGCCCAGGGCCCCAGATTCAGGAAAAAGGGCTTGGAAAAGCCTAAGCTTGGGTAAGAGCTCACCCTCCTGGTCGGCCTCCTTCTCCATTTCCAGCACCTTCTCCTGCACAAAGCTCAGCAGCTCAGTGGTGTTGGCCATCCACAGCATGAGTGGCCGCAGCTCCACAGATACAGCCTCTGGAGTCAGGGGCACTTCGGGGATCCCCTCAGGGTGGCTGAGGAAAGGGGAAGGAACCTGTGATCCCTGCTCAACCCCCATAATAGTCCAAACCTCAAGATTCGGGCCTAAGTTGAGGACCAAGCCCATGCCCCATTTCACAGCCAGAAATGTTGAGTCCCAAGGAGGAACAGAAACTTGCACTAAGACATGTATGGAATAAATGCAGAACTAGATGCAAATCCCAACTCTTGCATCCCTCTGGATCTTTGTGCTTGGAATTTCTCTTACTTCTCTGGCTGACGGTCTCCAATTTCCTTAATTTTTTCCTGCAGAACAGTGAGATCAGAATTAGGGGAGAGGGTCAGGAGAGAAGGTATCTTGAGTTAATGTCCTGGTTTTTCTAGAAGCCTATTTAGGACAGAGACTCCCCACTTTGCAGATGTACTCTAATCCCTAAGCCTCACAGTTAGGTAAGCATTCTGCCACGGGAGTTACCTCTCCAGCCCTTGTTACTTATTTTTTGAGACAGGGTCTCACTAAGTTGCCCAGGTTGTCCTCTAACTCGTGATCCTCCTCACTGGTCCCTCTTTTTAAAGATAACAAGAGGCAGGGGCTGGGATTATGGCTCAGTGGCAGAGCACTTGCCTGGCATGTGTGAGGCACTGGGTTTCATTCTCAGCCCCACATATATATAAATAAAAATAAAGTTCTATCAACAATTAAAAAAAATACATGTTTTTAAAAAAGTAACAAGAGGTGATGGTGGTGATGAATGAGTGGTCTGTTGCCCTTGGGGCCTCTTCTGCTCAAATTCTGTTTCTTCTTAACCCCAAAGAACTCCATAAACCCTCCCTCTAACAAGCCTCTAGTTCAATAGGATGGAACCTTTCTTCTACTCTGACCTATTTCTTTCTGGGGCTCCCATATGTAGGTCCAACCAACCTATCCTCCAATAATGGTCTCTCTTGCAACTGCTGCAAGGTCCCAGCCCAGTGGGTTGCCCACCGAACTTCTTATAATGGTCTCTTCAAATTCTCGGCCCCGCCCTATTTACCAGAATGACTTATTCCAGGATCCCACAGCTCCAAAGGTAGGCACTACCACCTCTTCTATAAATCCAAAACTTCGGTGAGTGGGACCACTTACTACATCGCCCAAGCCCTTCCTGAGGCACCATGGGAAACATACTTTCTTCTCACCCTTGTCCCTAACTGAGTAGACTTGGGCAGCAGGTGGGGCTGGATGGCGGTTGGGGGTGCTCACCCAGACGGCCTCCTTGATGAGCCTGGCGAGGCGGCCCAGCAGGCGCGGTAGGTGGCCCAGCTCCAGCTCTCGGGCCGAGTGCTGCACGCATAGCGCCAGCAGCGTGGCAGGCCCCAGCGGTGGCAGGTCTCCCGCTCCAGAGGCCGCTGTCCGCACGATCTCGCCCAGCAGTGCTTCCTCCTCGCGAGGTCGGAAACGCAGGACCGGCTCCCGGCCGTCCAGGTACGCGGCCAGCGCCTCCCCACGCTCTTGCAGACCGCGGCCGCACAAACGGCAGGAGAAGGCCCAGCCGGGGCCTGGGGGTGTGGCCCCGGGACGAGCAGGAAGCCAGGGGGGTCTTGCCGGCCCAGAACCCCCAGTGCGGGGGTCCTTGTACATGAACAGGAAGTGCTCGCCCAGCCCTAGCAGGTCACCTGGGTGCAGCTCGGCCTCCCGCAGCAGAAGACACCCGTTGTGCATAACCGGAGCTCCACGGGAAGGGCGCACCATGGCTGGGGGCTCAGGGCCCGCACGAACTGTGCAGTGGCGTGGCAGTATGTCAGGGGCATTGAGGAAAGTGTCCACGTATGGGCCCGGGGACCCGCAGCGGGATGAGGAGGTCCCGCCTCTGCCAAAAACGTGTTGCTCCCTTGTCATGACATACACCACAAAGTCCTAGAGAAAAAGTAAAGACAACAAATCCAATTCCCTTCCCAATGGGTGCTTCCAAACAGTCTCTATCCCAACATCAATACTCCCATATCCCACCTACTTTTTAAATGAACACTTCCAAGATCGACCAGGACCCAGAGGACTAACACTCCACTTTCTTTTGAAAGAGCTTTCTATGGGAGATGCTACCATGATGCACATCCCCACAACTCTATACTTACAGAAGAAAGCCCCAACTTTGTCACTCCCTCAAAGAACAGATGATTCAGAGGTGATAAATCACCAATGGACTCTCATTTTCCCAACAATTCTGAATGAATTCTTCCCCACCTAAAGTGGACTCTACCAAAACATCCAGCCAAGGAATGAGTGCTTCCAAGGACACCCGTCACCCCTACTAAAATGGACTACCCCCTACCTTCATCCTCAAAGAATGGACCACTCCAACCTTCCTCCATTTCCATACCCCTGGCCCCACTTGTTCTTTATTCCACTCCAGTGATGGAGCCTTAC